CCAGCAGGATCAAATCAGGGTACAAAATCGAAATGGATCCTAATGATTCTGGTAGAGACAATGGATCTGGCCTAATTGTTAAGAAATTCTCTTCGCCCGAACGAAGATCGTTGGAAGGAAAGCTTGATAAGTTTTCATTAAAAACTTGCCAAGTTTTTTTCTTTAATATTTATCGGAAACGAACGACTGACAAAGATATGGAATCGATTGAATACTTTATCGCGAAATATTTTTAATATACATATTATATATTAGATACGTGTTTCAGTCGGTCTGCCGAAGACGGATGGAAGCTGGAACTTTGCAATCTTCCGGCGGATCTAACGGACGGGGATGTAATTTTCGGGCCGAAATAATATTCCCCTATCAATCGTTTGATCTCTTGGGTGTAGTATCTCTCGCTTATGTCCCGTTTCATCTGCAGCTCCTTCAGCTTTTGCAATTTTTGCATCGCGCTCAGCGCCTCCGGCATCCGATACTCCGAGTAATCGTTGAATCGTTGATATTTCTCGTGAAGAGCGGTATTATGTTTCGGCAAGGGTTTGGCGTAAGTCGTTTCTTCTGGATAACGATGAAACTGTACGTTCGGAATATATTAAATGATTTTTTTTTAAATAAATCACGAGTATACGTTATATCATCATATTCGAAGATTATGTGCGATATAAGTTCGTAAATTTTGTAATTGTAATTTCTGATAATTATTATTCGTAGCTATGATCGAATAGTATATAATTTTAAATAGCTTATCATAGAATCCAAAGATATTCTTATAAGGCAAGGAATTGATGTATCGAGGATATCTTTCTAGAGAAACAAATACAAAAGTTAATGCAACGAAAATGTTAATCGAGGCTATACATGGATTTTTGTGTTAAAATCAAATTTTTAATGAACGTGTCTGAAGAAATAGATAAAGATACTTTCTTCTTTGTCATTTGTATTTTGAATATTTTGTATTATTACCAGTCTAATATCAATCTAGTTACGATTTAAGTTCACGTTTAATATCGATTAATTATATAACACGAAGCCTCGATCGAAATTTGTTACACGTTCAACTTTCGTATTCGTTCTCATCTCGAAAAGTTGTCCAACGAATATTACCTCTCTACGTTATGTATATTTGAAAACAAAGAGAAGAGAAAAACCACTTGCGCTTCTAAAAATTATCACTTTTGGCACTTACTTCCCTACATCACAATTCGACTCGCGCACACACACGCGCGCACACGTTTAAGTAACGATGCTAAAATAAACGATGTTTATTCATACGTTATTCTTATTAGTGGCAGTTTCCTCCACCTCGGTGACAGTCTCGACGGAAGATCTCTCTTCAGGAAATTGGATATCGCGCTCGTTGGTATACTCCTGCTCGTAGTTATTCGTACTCTTAGCGTAACGTACCGAATTGGGATACATTTCTTTATTCCAATTATTCTCCGTCAGAGTTGCCGTGTGAGACGATTTTTCTCGACGATCGTCCATCGGTCTTCGATTCCACCTTTAAATTTTACGTAACTGATGATAGAAGTGCGTTTCGTGTAATATAAACGAAAAAGGGGAACGAATCGGATTGGATTTAAATCTTGTTGCGTTTTCTTTTTTTTTTTAGGTTATCATGACAGGGACTCACTCGTCGGTTAATTTGCCACGGGTATGATTTGGAGACAAGGTTGTCATTTCAGATTTCAATCCGTGGAACGCATCGTCGATAGAAATTTTATAATATTTTATGCATTTTTACACAGAATTTGAATCGCGCTATATATCCCTCTAAATCTTACGTAATTTCTCTATCTTCCATGCTGCGAATTACATATTTATTGCTTATCGAGCAACTTCAAGCTTCTCCAAACTATTTTCAAATATATGTATCTTTCGAACCGATAACTTCAATAACGTTTCTTTACGATAATTATTATTTTGAATGGAAATTTAACGAAGTTTGAAGTTCATTAATTCGAAGGTTTTTTTTTTAATTTTATTTCCTCGCAATTTGGGAAAGAAAAAAATAAATGATACATAAATTATTTGAATGAACGTGGTTTATTAATCATGATACAATTAATTTAATTTTTATAAGACGGCCATCGCCCACGTCGGTCCAACCGAACTTTTGCCGTGAATTTTGTGTTTCATAATCATTTGGCCTAATCTGTTGATCGTCTCTTGATATTCCGACCGCCAGGGAGGTAATCGCGTTTCCTGTTCATCCTCGATCGCTTTCTTCGGTTTCTTCTTCTTTTTTTCCACCTCATTTTTTACCTTGATCTTGGGTCGTCGAGTGTACGGTCGACAATCTATGTCCTTCTCTTCCTCCTTGGGTACCTTGCACGGCCCTACTGCCGCTTCTTCCATCATTCTAGCCGCTGCAATGTTTAACACGATATATTAAAACATTAATTTTTTTCAACAGCATAAATCTACTTTAATAAATAATACGTTAATTCATTAATTTCAAGAATATGTACACTGGAAAAGATATCTTAAAAGATATATCGTTATATTTTTGAAATTTTCTTTTCACGAAAATGCAAAGAAAACTCTACTCTCGTTTCAGATTTTTTTCTATCTTATTAAGAAAAAAAAAAAAAGATCAAATCTCGATTATTTTTCAGAAAATTAATATTTACCTCTCTCGGAATAATCTAACTGATAAGTCGTCTTTAACCGATCTTGATCGACTCGCCTGATCACTTCGTCTATGGGCGTTGTCTGCAGAATTCCATACAGATTAGGATATTTTTCCTCTAACTGAAACGATCGTTTCAATTTCAACAACATTTTACTTTTTTACTTTTCCGTTTTTTTTTTTTTTTTCTTTACCTTTCTCATGAACACGTCCGGCTGGTCGAATTTCGTGATATCGGTTTCCGGTTGCGGCCCAGTCTTCGCTGGGAACAGCTTCGGATCGAGAAGCCGTCCCATGGGACCCGTGCGGCTCCAATCGTAATCATCGCCGCAATGAGTGAGGGGTTTTATCTCACGGGGAATATCGCGGCATTTGCAGGCACCGTATTCATCCAACTCGGTCGGTTTCCGTTTAATCCTCGTCGCGGGCCACGGGTAATCCTTTTTGTACGTTGTAAGATATTGGTCCATCTTTTTTTTTTTTTTTTAATCTTTTCGCACAGGTTTTTATTTATTGGTATCGTGCTTGTAGATTTATCTTTCGTCTTATCTTTTTCCTAACGAAATTTTGAACGAGAAGTATATATTTTTATCATTCAGCGATTCATCCATTGCTAAATGATTAAACTGATATCGTTTCTTCTCTCTTCTTCGCTACCTCTTCGAATCATTTTCTATCCGTTTTCCTTCTGGTGTAATAATCTGATTTTTTATCGATCCATTTTCTCTATTGAATAATAATTTCATACTAGAATTTATCTCGAAGAATTGTGAGAACGTTGAACGATCCAATTTATATTTCCATCAATCACATTTTCAAAGTTTCTTTTTTGGAATTTTTATTTTATTTCTTTTATATATTTTTCGTTTTACATACTTCTTTTACGTGTCTATTTCATTTTAAAGGAATTGTTGATTGATCGAAGGTTTGCAGGAAGCAAACCTTGAAAAGAATTTTGGTTAAACTTGGAATTAGCAATTGTGTCTGACATAACTTTGACGACGTTCACACGTTTTCATTGTCTCGTCGTAATTTATCGATAATTTCGAGTTCGATAATTTCAGTTTGGTTTCGAAGATGGTTTCGAAACAAACGGCCATGTTGGGTGTCGTATAACTCCCCCCCCTCTCTGGAAGGAACAATAAAATCGTGATGTGTATGATCATAATTTGGAAACGTCCGTTGTGCAAATAAACTTGGCCCAATAAATAATCGTAGACCGATACTGTTCACTCGTTACGTACGAACAAAGGTGGCACGCAAGATGGCACCGCCTGTATACGATTATTATATTTGGCCTGGCTCCATTTTCAATAGAAGTTATTATTATTATTATTTTCCAGAGAAACACATTTTTTTAAAAAACTGGCAAAAATCAAATATCGAATTAAGAAAGAAACATTACGAATTATGAATATATTATCTTCTTTTCGTATATCGTTTCAACGAGATACAGATTTTCATTCTAACTTTCATTTTTGCTGATCTTTTTTTTACGAGATTCCATTTCTTGCGCGCCATCGATCTTCTTCTCGCCCTTTTTCCCCCTCCTTCTTTTCCACGATTATTGGCCCGATTCCAACACCAACAGA